CTTTACAGCTGTCTGTTTGCATTTGCCACACTTATCATTAGGGTTTAGGTTTTAGGGTTTAGGGTTTATGTTTTCTCATTTGGTTTCGAAGCAAACTGCGTGGGGTGTACGCACACCAGGTGCACGCACACCCCAATGTCCTGCTTCAGCGCATCTTAACGAGCATGTGGTTATTTGCTGCTGCTGCGTTGCAGCAAACACCTAGCTGCTGCTGCGCTGCAGCAAATACCTAGCTGCTGCAGCGGGAAGCACAGAAGCGGGGAGGGTTTAGAGACCCTTAAGGGTTTTAAATCAGCCACACAGAGGCAGCAGCAAGTGCTGCTTGTTTGCTGCAGCGGGAGAAGAAGAGAAATGAAGAAAGACCAAAAGGGAAGGCGCAGCGACTGAAACAAGAAACTAAACGACTGAAACAACCTCGCCGGCCTCCCCCGCCGCCCACGAGCTGCTGTGCTGCTCCGTAGCAGCAGCAGCAGCTGCTGCTGCAGCAGCAGCAGCAGCAGCAGCAGTTGTGGGCGCGACTGTGGGTCTGGCCCGGTGGGCCGCCGGGCTCTTTGCTGCGGAGCTCCTGGTGTCTTCTTTTTGCATTTTTGGCTTTGTTTGGACATTTTTAGAAACACTAATTTTAATGCATGCAGCAGCAGCCAACTTTCCTGCTGCTGCGCATTGGCTGCTGCAGCAATCGCAGCAGCAAGAGCTGTGGCTGCTTCTGTGCGACGGCAGCAGCTGCAGCAGCGGCAGCAGCAGCTGCTGCTGCTGCTGGACAACGGCAGCGGCCACAGCAGCAGCAGCAGATGCTGCTTTGGCTGCTGCCTGCCTCTCTTCAGCGGAGGTGCTGCTGTTGTTCAGCGGTGGGCTGGACAGCTGCTGCTGCTGCAGCAACTGGCAGCAAGTACTTTTTCTTGCTGCTTCTGCGGCGGCAGCAAGAGTGCTTGCTGTAAGCGGCAGCAGCAGCAGGCGTAGCAGGGTTCGCACGGCTGGCAGCCGGCAGGGAGCAGCAGCAACTGCAGCAGCAGCAGCAGCAGCAGCAGCAGCAGCAGCAACAGGGTCTGTTTGCCTGTCTCAGCTGCAGGCCCGCAACGCTGAGAGCCATTTGGGGCTTTGAAGCCATGCGCCTTGACTTGGCTTTCCGCTAAATATTTAGGGTTTAGGGTCCAGCTCGTCCAGGGTTTAGGGTTTAGGGATTCGGGTTTAGGGATTACGGCACTGGCAGTGCCTCTAGAATGCTGCTACCCACGGCTGTCGGCCTAGGGTTTAGGGTTTAGGGTTTAGCAAGAAAAATAAGCAGCATCTGTGCATAGACACACCCAGGGAAGCTGCGGGGTGCACGCGATGAAAAGATCATATCTAGCGTGTACGTGCTATCGCTGCTGCTGTTGCTGCTGCTGCTGCTGTTGCTGCTGCTGCTGTAGGTTCGAGGGAGAGACAAAGACACAAGTGCTCGAAAAAGACGAGAAAAAGAAAAGGCAGACAGCCGCAGCAAAGCGACAGAGTGCAGCAAGGGAGGGTTTAGGTCCCCCTGAGTTGCCATTGAGCCGAAGTCCCACGCCAGCTGCTGCTGCTGCAGTTGCAGCAGCAGCAGCAGCGGCCTCAGTTTGCAGCTTTCTCGTTTTCAGGCTGAGACACCGACAGCAAATTGGCTCTCCAGGGCCCCAGCAAATAGTGCGCCCTGTACAGACACTCCGCTGAGGGGAAAGCGCCAACTTTTGTCTCATCCTTTTCATTTAATTTCATTTTTCTTTTTGCTGCTTCCTCTGCCCCCCTGCCCCTATCTACTCCCGCCTCTGCGCCCGCTGGCGTCTCTACACCTACACCCTGGCTGCCTGCATGCACCCCTGGGGGCCCCCCAGGGGGCCCCCCTGGGGGCCCTCCTAGGGGCCCCCCCGGGGGGCCCCTCCGCGGGCCCCCTGGGGGCCCCTCTGGGGGCCCCCCTGGGCCCTGGAAGAAGGCGTGGAGGATCGCCTCCTCTTTGGGCATTGGGCGCTTCGAAGCCAGCAAGCTGCGGGAAAGAGCTTGCTGCTGCATGTCAGCTTGCTGCAGCTGCTGCACCAGAGTCAAAAGACTTTCGACTTTTGCTGCTTCACTTTCTGCTTCTTCTCCCCAGAGGCCCCACACGTCAGCCTCGTCTTCGGGCGCCAGGGAGTCCGCAGCAGCAGCAGCAGCAGCAGCAGCAGCAGCGCCCCCCTCCTCCACGGCCTGCAGCAGCTCCTCCACCAGCTGCGCCTCCGCGGGGCCCGCCGCTGCTGCTCCTGCTCCTGCTGCTGCTCCTGCTGCTGCTGCTCCTGCTGCTGCCACCCCGCGCCGCCGCAGCATGCGAAACTTCAGCAGCATTCGCTCATATGGCAGCAGCTGCCGCCCCAGCAGATATTCGCAGTCAGTTTCGGCTTCCAACAAGCTGCTGTCATCTTCGCTCCATTCGCTGCAGCCGCTGCAGCTGCTGCGCCCGCCCTTCTCCCCGTCGCTGCTGCCAGCAGCAGCAGCAGCAGCAGCGGCGGCGGCGACGGCGGCGTTAGTGGGGCCTTCCGCCTCAGCAGCAGCAACAGCAGCAGCTGCAGCAGCAGCTCCTGCAGCAGTGTCGAGCTGCTCCGCTGCTAGGGGTTCTGCTGCACGCAGCGCCAAAGCCTCCCCACACATCTGCTGCTCGCTAGCAGCAGCAGCAGAGCTGCCAAGTACCCCCGAAGACAGCCCAGGGGCCCCTCCGTGGGGGCCCCCTGGGCCGGAGACCCCCAGCAGCAGGCCTGGGGGCCGCCCCTGGGGGGCCCTCCCGTGGGGGGCCCCCGGTGCTGCGTCAGCAGCAGCAGATTGCGCTATTGGCAGAAGCAGATGCCCCAGCGACTGAAGTGCTGCTGCTTCCAGGCCTCCCCTTGTTGCTGCTTGCTTCTGCTGCAGCAGATCTGCCATTTGCATGCGCTGCTGCGTCTGCAGCAGCTCCAAGGAAAGGGCCCGGGAGAGGCCCATGAGGGCCTGCAGCAGGGCCCCGTGGCACTGCGCAGGAGCAGCGGCGCCCGCAGCAGCAGCAGCAGCAGCAGCAGCAGCAGCGCACGCAGCCTCCGCCTGCTGCAGCAGCAGCTCCGTCGCTTGACGACGCCCCAGCCGCTGCTTCTTCAGACTCAGTTTGTCTCTCGAGAAGCAGCACAAACTCGCGCTGCGGGTTTTGCTGCGGAAGCGCTCAATCGCCTCTGACAGGTCTGCAGCAGCAGCTATCGCTGCTGCTGCTGCTGCTGCTGCTGCTCCCTCTGGGGCGGCTGCCCCTGCCAGGGAGGCTTTTCTTGCATCCAGGGGGGAAAATGGTGACGCGGTGCCGCCGCAGGAAGCTGCTGCCGGTGTTGCTGCTGCTGCTTCGGGCGTTGCTACTGCTGCTGCAGCTGAAGGGGTTGCTGCTGCTTCTGCAGGAGATCCTGCTGCTGCAGCTGGCCTGGGCGTCCTCGCAAGCGCCGCAGCCGCAGGCAGAGACGCTCTGCGCCGCAGCGGCCTCGTGCGCCTCAGCACGCGGCGCCAGGGGTCTGTTTGCTGCTGCTGCTGCTGCTGCTGCGGTGTTTGCTGCTGCTGGGGTGTTTGCTGCTGTGTTTGCTGCTGCTGCTGCTGCGTCCCGTCTGCTGCGCTGCTGGGGCTGAACTCGGGAAGCGGCAGCAGCAAACTGGCGGGTATGCGTCTGCGCTGGGGCCCCTTGCTGCTCTCCTGCTGCTGCAGCAGCAGCTGCAGCTGGAAAGAACGCTCTTTGATGAGGGCCCCCTTTGCTTTTGTTGCAGAGACAGAGCGGCTGAGGCGGTTTATAAGAGAATTTAGCTGCGCCTTTTGCTGCTCCAGACGCGCTAGGGTTTGCCTGCAAGCAGCAGCAGCTTGCTGCTGCTTGCTCAAAGACAGCCGGCTAAACAGCGCGGCCATTTCCCCCACCATTTGCTGCCGCCGCGCCCGCTCTGCAGCAGCAGCAGCAGCAGCAGCAGCGCTGGGGGCCCCCCTGGCGCCCGCCAGCTGCTCCTCGCGGCGGCCGCTGCTGCTGCTGCTGCTGCTGCTGCTGTGCTTCGGGGGGGCTCGCCACTGCTTGAGGGAATGGAAAGCCTCATTTCTGCTTCGGAGGTCCGAACTCTTCTGCTGCCTTTGTCTCTGGTGAAATGCGTCAAGAAAGCTGGCAGCAGCTGCTGCAGTGGAGCGGCAGCGACGCAGCAAAATGTCATTTGCTGCTTCAGGCCCGCCTGGCGACTGAGACGGCGGCGAGCTGTCTGCAGCAGCAAACGGAGGCATTGAGGAAAGCCGCGCAACCCCCTGGGGCTGCCAGCACGGGGCGCCGCAGGCAGCAGCAGCAGCAGCAGGAGCATCATCAGTCGTCGTGCAGCAGTGGTAGCAGGGT